CCTAGAATCCCGCGGAGAAGTGCGTCGCTCGACAGCGACTGAGTCTCCGCGGAAGGTCGGGACTTCGAGGGCCCACCCGTTTCCCTCCGAGCAGTTTCACGTCTCTTGAACTCTCTCTTCAAAGTTCTTTGCAACTTTCCCTCACGGTACTTGTTTGCTATCGGTCTCGCGGTCGTATTTAGCCTGGAGGAGTCTACCTCCCGCCTTGGGGCTGCACTCCCGAGCAACCCGACTCTCCGGAGGCGCCGGCACCGCCGAGGGGTTCGAGGACACGGGCCTGGCACCCGCCACGGGAAAAGCCCCTGTCAGGGGACTTACCTCGAACCCTGCGGCGGACCTGCGCGCACTCCTTACGCCACATTTCCCAGAGTGCGCCTCTCGACGCAGGGATTCGGCGCTGGGCTCTTCCCTTTTCGCTCGCCGCTACTGGGGGAATCACTGTTGTTTTCTTTTCCTCCGCTTACTGATATGCTTAAGTTCGGCGGGTTCTCTCGTCTGATCTGAGGTCGCTTCTCGTTTTCATAGTTATCCCTTTATCTGTCTTACTCCCGGGGTACGTTTGCGGTCGATCCCCGGGAGAGATCGTTCTCTGAGCCCACGGACGAATCCGAAGGGGCCGTTTGGTCACCTTCCGAGGAAAGAACCTCTGCATGCATCACGCGACCCTCAGACAGGCGAGGCTCCCGCAGAGGAGCGGGAGCCGCAATGTGCGTTCGAATAATCAGTGATCTGAGTGTTCTGCAATTCACACCAAATCTCGCAGCTGGCTGCGTTCTTCATCGACCCGCGAGCCGAGTGATCCACTGCTCGGAGCTGTACGATGCGACAGTTTTCATCGCGTCCGCCGCACGAAGGACGCTTTCTATAGAATTTCTTCGTTTTTGTTTCCTCCCCCGAAGGGAAGGGGCAGTGGGGCGGTGCGCACGCGGGCGCATCTCTTCGAGCCGTGCTCGGAAATCCGAACATCCCTCCTGCCGCAAAATCGGCCGGGAACAGGCACCCCTCGACTGCCCTCCGTTCGAATCGAAAAATTTTAAGAAAAAAAAATTTTTTCTTCGGCGGTGGGTTCCCCAACCCCACCGCCATCCAGCTTTTTAATATCTATATGCGGTGGGTGGTCCAAGTCCATTCCGCTCTCTTCCAATCTTATTAAAATTGCAAGACAATGATCCTTCCACAGGTTCACCTACGGAAACCTTGTTACGACTTTTACCTCCTCTAAGCGGCCAAGTTCGGTCATCTTCCCGGCACGTCGACTCGACCCCGGAGAGGTCGCCCGAGCGCTGGTCCGAAGACCTCACTCCACCGCTCAATCGGAGATAGCGACGGGCGGTGTGTACAAAGGGCAGTGACTTAGTCGGCACGAGTTAGTGACTCGCGCCTACTGGGAATTCCTCGTTCGAGGGGAATAATTACAATCCCCTGTCCCCAGCACTGAGAGAGACTGCTCGGGTTACCCGGGCCCGACGGCCGAGGCACCTTCGCACGTTGTCCCCTCTACTGTAGCGCACGTGCGGCCCCGGACATCTAAGGGCATCACAGACCTGCAATCGCTCTCTCTCGTACGGCTTCGAAGCCGCCGGTCCCTCTAAGAAGTTCCCCTCCATCGCGATAGGATGAAGGGCACCTATTTAATAGGCGAGAATCTCGTTCGTTTATCGGAATTAACCAGACAGGTCACCCCACGAACCAACTGCGGCCATGCACCACCATCCACGGAATCTAGAAAGAGCTGTCAATCTGTCCATCGAGCACATGTCCGGACCGGGTGAGTTGTCCCGTGTTGAGTCAAATTAAGCCGTAGGCTCCACTCCTGGTAGTGCCCCTCCGTCAATTCCTTTAAGTTCCAGCTTTGCAACCATACTTCCCCCGGAGCCTGAACTCAGGTTTCCCGGGCAAGCTGCCCGGCGCGTCACGTTCGTACGCAGCCGGATCGCTGGAGGGTATCGTTTACGGTCAGAACTACAAAGGTATCTAATCTTCTTTGAGCCTCTGACTTTCGTTCTTGGTCAATGGAAGCATTCTTGGCAAATGCCTTCGCAGTGGGTCGTCTTCCGACGGTCCAAGAATTTCACCTCTAGCGTCGGAATACGGATGCCCCCGTCTGCTCCTATCGATCATTCCCTCGGTCTCCGTCGACCTGTTCCCACGGAAACCCGGGACCGAGGGCGTCTTCCATCGTTCCGTGCATTACTATCCAGGCGGCAGGGCCTGCTCTGAGCACTCTAATTTTTGCAAAGCGATCACCGCCTTCCACCCGGGGACGACCTTTTAAAATCACCCCGCGAGGTGGCGGGCAGAATGCCCGGAAGCGCAGCGGGAGACCGCGCGAGCGGCCCCCGGCGTCCGGAGCAGAGGTCCGACTACGAGCTTTTTAACTGCAACAATTTTAGTATACGCTACCGGAGCTAAAATTACCGCAGCGGCTGGCATTAGTCTTGCCCTCCGGTAGGTCCTCGTTAGGGGGTTTAGAGCGTACTCATTCCGATCACGGGGTCTCGATGAGTCCCGTATCGTTATTTTTCGTCACTACCTCCCCGAGCCGGGAGTGGGTAATTTGCGTGCCTGCTGCCTTCCTTAGATGTGGTAGCCGTCTCTCAGGCTCCCTCTCCGGAATCGAACCCTGATTCCCCGTCACCCGTGGCGACCACGGTAGGCGCATGACCTACCGTCGACAGTTGATAGGGCAGACACTTGAAAGATGCGTCGCCGGGACGGGCCCGTGCGATCTGCCAAAGTTACTCAGCTTCGGTTCACGTTTCCGATCCCCACCCCGAGAGGAGGGGCCGGTCACAATCTAATAAAAGCGCTCGTCCCCCGGAGGGTCGGAGCTCGGCTGCATGTATTAGCTCTAGAATTGCCACAGTTATCCAAGTAACGCGTCACGATCCAATGAACCGTGACTGATTTAATGAGCCATTTGCGGTTTCGCCGTCGGAGCGGCAAGTACTGAGACATGCATGGCTTAATCTTTGAGACAAGCATATGCTACTGGCAGGATCAACCAGGTATCCTTCCGTTTCGTCGAACGGCGAGCGGAACAGTCCGCACGCCGCCGGCCTTACACTTCGGTTCACCATCCACAATTTCGACGTGCGCAAGGGAACGCAGTCTGAAGCGTTCGCTTCCGTAGATTTCGAAAGAGCCGTCGGCCATCGCGAGGATCAGGCCGGCTCCGTGGCAGAGCAAATGCGAGACTCGCCGGAGCCTCCGGAGAGGCCGGGCGAGCCGAGCAGAGAGACAGGTTGTGTCCCGCCGAAGCGGGAGATACACGGTCCCGGCGTACCCAGCACGGGACCAATCAGAGACGGGTCACCCCATCGGAAGCAACCGCCGGTCCGCAGAGCTCGACGAAACTAGGACGACGGCGCCTCCCGCCCGACAACATGGACACGTTGCAGGCTTCGCACGCGACGTCGTCGTCGTTCCGCCTCGCTCCGCAGTCGACGGCAGTCGCCTCGACGAGAGGCAACACCGCAGTCCGGGACGATCTACTCGAATGCAGTTCCGCGACGATCCACTTCTCCGCGACCATCTGATGGAATTCACCGCGACGACACACTCTTCCGTCCTCTTCCGTCAATCTCCTACGGTCCTCTTCCGTCAATCCCCTACGGTCCTCTTCCGTCAGGTCCCCTTCCTTCCGTCCGGGCCGGGGGCAGGTCCTCTTCCGTCCACTGACAGGCTTCTCCTCGGGGATCCGTCCAACGCGTTCCTCCGCCGGACCCTAACCTACGACGCGGCTGGCCAGAGAGAAAATCCTTCGGCAGCCTCCTGGGAGGCACCATTCTAGAGGCTGGTCACCCCATCGGAAGCAACCGCCGGCCCGCAGAGCTCCACCGTATTCCGACGACGGCACCTCCCGCCCGACAACATGGACACGTTGCAGGCTTCGCACGCGACGTCGTCGTCGTTCCGGTCCGCTCCGCAGTCGACGGCAGTCGCCTCGACGAGAGGCAACATCGTGGTCCCGCCGAAGCGGGAGATACACGGTCCCGGCGAACCCAGCACGGGACGATATAAATACGATCCCGGCTATCCGAGCACGGGATATTCACACATGCCCCTTCCGAAGCGACCGCATCGCTCACCGAATTCCGACGCGAATGAAACCTGCCCCGTTCCAGGCTTCGCTCGCGACGTCGTTACGGTTCGCTCAGCAGTCGACCTCCTCGGAGGCGGACCCGGCCGACAAAGCACGGCACGGTACTCGGGCGGCCGCGCGGCCGCACGAGGGGGGTGACGTAGCAGATCCGCAGAGCTCGCCGAATCCAGACGTCACCTCGCAACCTGGGCACGTTGAGAGGTTTCGCACGCGATCCGGTTCGTTCATTGGAAACCAGTCCACCACATCAGGAGACTCAGATCCAACCCACTCGAGTGGTGTTTCGATCATGACTCTCAGACCTGTCATCCTCAGACAGGTCCTCCCCATATAGGGTATCGACCTGTCCAGATATCTTGGAAACGATTTCGATCTGCGGTCCTCCGCGGCACCGGGCGTCCGGGGGAGGAGGGGAGGGGAGAGAATCCTGCCCCACTTCTTTACCTCGAAATCGTGGGAACACCGGAATCCGAGTACGGAAAACGTCGCGCCCCGAAGGGCTCCGGGCGACGACAGCACCACCGCCCGACCTCGGCGGCGGGGTCTCGTGACCGCGATTCCGCCGGGGCACCACTCTTCCGGTTCCTTCGCAGGTACGGAGAGAGCTGTGCGTCGTCGGAACGAAGAGACCGCGAACCCGCCGCCTGGACCGGACCGGCGAGTGGTCGTGACCCCGGCTCCGCCGGAGCACCACCTCTCCCGTTACGACGCAACACCACTCTCGAGAGGCACGGAGAGAGTGGTGCGTCGTCGGAACGAAGAGACCGCGAACCCGCCGCATGGACCGGACCGGCGAGTGGTCGTGACCCCGGCTCCGCCGGAGCACCACCTCTCCCGTTACGACGCAACACCACTCTCGAGAGGCACGGAGAGAGTGGTGCGTCGTCGGAACGAAGAGACCGCGAACCCGCCGCCTGGACCGGACCGGCGAGTGGTCGTGACCCCGGCTCCGCCGGAGCACCACCTCTCCCGTTCCAACGCAACACCACTCTCGAGAGGCACGGAGAGAGCTGTGCGTCGTCGGAACGAAGAGACCGCGAACCCGCCGCCTGGACCGGACCGGCGAGTGGTCGTGACCCCGGCTCCGCCGGAGCACCACCTCTCCCGTTCCGACGCAACACCACTCTCCAGAGGCACGGAGAGAGTGGTGCGTCGTCGGAACGAAGAGACCGCGAACCCGCCGTTGCAAAATCAACGGCGAGCTGTCGTGACTCCGACTCCGCCGGAGCACGACGCGTTCCGTTTCGCTCCGAGGCACCGGCCCGAGGGGTGCCCCGGCGGAACGCAGGGACCGCGAGCACGCCGCCGGGTCCCGGGAGGGCCACCTCGCGTTATACCAAAACGCGAGAAGGAAGCTCGAGAGCGCTCATCCGAGGACCGTCGACATCATTCGTGCACTCGCACCCCGCCCCGAGAGCGAGAGCTCCTGTCGAACCTCGGAAGTGCAGCTCGATCGAGCACACACCTCCCCCTATATAGGGCAACTGGCGTGCCAGCTATCTTGGAAACGTTCTTCGTCTCCGGTGCGCTGCGGCATGATGCTTGCCGACGGGGAGGGGAGGGGACAGAATCTCGTGCAGTTTCTTAGGCAAAATGTGGGACCAAAAATTCATTTTTCGAGAAAAAATGGAAATTTCCAAAGAACTCTCGACAGACCTCGCGCTACTTCGTTTTCAGGACCACTCTCCGAATTTCGGGGTCCTGGGACCCTT